TTACTGCAAAGGAAGCTTGCAAGCAGTTTTCTGGCCAGAGTTACCCACTTGGCTAGCATGTAGCTTACCCTTCTGAGTTGGTGCAGCTGAGAATCTGATACCCGGGGCTGTGCAGGATGTTCAACCCTGATAATGCTAGAGTAGCTGGATTCACCACAGTTAAGATAATTCCACTTTTATTTCGTTTGGCTTGAATTCTGGCATGCATTAGTAGGTCCTGCATGAATCACATGAAATATGTCCTTTTTCCATGAACATACTATCTCTGTATTGTAAGGAAATGCACTGTGCTAAGAAAATGGTTGTGTGAGTCACAACTCCTTGACACGCCTCACCACTCATTGCCCTAGAAATAGAAAGGTTATTTAGTAGTACCTACCTCACACAGGAAAATGAAGCTAAATTTCATTCAGTCTTCACTTCCTCTTTGATTTGTGAATTGTCCAAACTCCCAAATGGAGGGGAGGAAGCTAGAGGGTCTATTTCCCATATGGGGGAGAAAGAAAGTTCCAGTCTCTTTTAATTCCGCAGGCACCCAGTCTTCGAAAGAAGAGGAGATGACTTGTATACGAACGTGACAATCTCGCTGGTCGAGGCACTTACTGGCTTTGAAATGGATATCTCCCACTTGGATGGGCACAAGGTGAGGCAACGGTTTGCTTTCTTCCTCTGTCTAAACAAAACGTAGCTGAGGGTCTCCTGTGCTGAGGGTTAGCTTGCTCGGGGTCCATGCAGCTGCTGGTTGTACACGGTATCCCCTCTGCTGGAGGCTTCCAGACCGATTTCCACGGAGCCAAAACAGAGGTGGGGCGGTGCGGGCAGTAATACTGCCTGGACCCCTGGAACGTCACTGACTTTGGCAAGGAATCGATATCGATAAAGCTTTTCAGTGGGTGGGAAAGGGCATTTTGGGGTATTGGGAACGTTGGTAACGTTCTGAAATATCTTTTGTCTCTAGGTTCATGTCGCTCGGGATAAAATTACAAAACCCGGGGCCAAACTGTGGAAGAAAGGAGAAGGTCTACCAAACTTTGATAACAATAATATCAAAGGCTCCCTAATAATAACATTTGATGTGGAGTTCCCCAAAGAGCAACTGACAAACGAACAGCGGGAAGGTGCGTGGTTTAAAGCTCTCTCGTGGCAGCGGGCTGCGCAGACCTCTTGCCAAAGCTGATAAGAAGTTGGCACAACTGAACCAGTGGCCTGTAGCGGTCAGGAAGGGCTCTCCTTTCCCTGTGCCCCTCGTACAACATACCATCACCTGATGCCCTGTGATTAACTTCCATTTCCTTTTGAAGCAAGTGAACGTGGCTGCCGCAGTTGTAGGGAACCAGCTTAGGTTGGGATGCGCCACTGCTGGGATGTAGCACTTGGCAAGTTTGCAGCTGCTTTGTTCTCTAGCTGGCCATTTGTCTGAACTCAAAAACTTCCTGGGCTTAGCCTCTGTCTGCTTTGCTTCTGTTGGAGTGGGATCACAAGTGGCTTTCCAGCCCCTGCTTCTGCTTTCTTGTAGGCAAGACTTGTGGAAATCCCTCTGCTGTCATGGGTAAAGAGTGTCATGCGGCATCAGGATTGTTCTTCCCTACATCTCCTCCTACCCCAAGTATTTTGAGGCCATGCAGGCAAGAAGGGTGCAGTGCAGGTATTTCATAGGAGAGATCTGCTTATTGGCTTTGGTGCTCAAATGGAAACTTGATGAACCATGTAGAAATCCTAAAGTTGCAGGAGAGTAAATATTATACTCCTAGGTGGAAATTCCTCTTTGCCTTAGCAGCCTCTGCAGTAGGTTCTGCTGCTCTGCACGAGGCATCACAGCAGGCGTCAAGGGCCCCGTCCTCTGCTACGGGGCAAAGAAATTCCTGGCATGTACCAGTGCAGCGCTCCAGAAAATTCCCATCCCCAGAACTTTTTCCT